GGAAAACAAATAAAATTTATAGTAAAAGCTTGAAAAAAGAGCTAAAAACTTATATTAATGAAAATAAACATCATTGAATCATTATATAATAAATAAAATTCATCAAATAAGTGTCACAAGCAATAGGAAGAAGAAAACATAAAAATTAGAGTCCCAAATTCTCAATGACAGAATTGATAATCAATTTAAATGGTCTCTCACTCATCCTTCAATCGTCATGACTTCGGTTCACCTAAATAAATAGCATAGTGTATATAGAATAGAATGAACCGACTATAGAAGAAGAAAGAAAACTAAATAACTAGAAGAAAACCAATAGACTAAAATAAGACAAACCAGCTGAAGCCAATAGACTAAAAAGAAAAGACTAATGGACAAACTAAGAAGAAGAGAAACTCTATGTATCAGGAAAAAAAATGGGAAACCTATTAAAATGAGAGTAAAGAAGGGAAATGGACTGACACTCTCAGAGGGAGCCTTGGTGACACTCTCAAAGCTTCTTAAGATTCACCCGACATTGTATATCAAAGATGAAGCCTCGCAATTGCTGACATTGGTGGGCAATATTGTGCTTCTCTTGGTTGGCTGACACTGTAAAGGCTTGCAATTGTTGCTTAAAAACTCGTGATTGACTCTCGTCTCACTTCTCTCCGTATAGTTTGCATGTAGCAATTGACACTACTCCAATTATGTTCACTTCTCTCAATCTAGTTTGCCCAACTAAAAGCTTAGGTTTCTTTGCCTAAGGAAAATGAAAGAAGAAGCACAAACCGATGCTATTTGGAAACCCTTAGTTGACTAGCCCTTCGAATAAGGCCATTAAGCCCCATGGACTAAGCCCATCACTAAAACAGGCCCAATAGTCAACTAAGCTTGATGGTTATCCGTTGTTTCAACCCTGGCACTAGCACTATGCCATGACACCATGAGCATGGTGGACACCAAAGCTCCGTCATATGAAACCGCCAACAGTGGATTGCCTCATGGCAGAATTTTGAAATTCCACCACTGCAATTTGCCATGGCCCTGCCATGGCAACAATTTGACAACACTGTGCTTAGATAGCTTATTATCATTTTTCCAATCACAAACTGTCTAGGACTTTCCATAATCAGAAATAAGAAACATATCCCAAGCAAACATTTAGATAGAGGCATTTCCAAGGAAGAAGATGAATAATCGTCATATAAATTTTGTCACAAATATTTGTCTCAAGAAGGGTTAATTTTGCACTTAGGAGTTGAAGTATTAGAAAAATTAATGTCCACCAAGGGCCCCTTGCAGATTATGAACCACTTGTTGGGAAAAGAATGGAAGAGATGATGGAACCACCCCTGATGAAAGACCAATAAGTACTAACCATCATTACTGAAACTCACAAAAATGCTAGCAAATTATAATTTAATACACACAATTAGAAACAACATAACTACCATTCAAAAATAGTCTATTTAGTGATCCAAGCTGATCCCAAACCTTTTCCATAATTTTTTCCTTGGAATAAGAAATATTAAATCAAATGCACTATATGTTAGGAAAATAAAGCTTTAGGGTAAAAATGAACATGACTGGGACAAAACACAATTAAAAAAATGTTTTGATGTATTTAATTTTAAGGAAAATAATTCCTACTTAATTCTATACATCACTATTAAAATTAGACTACTTTGTAACATATATTAATTCCAATAGGATAAACTATAGAAGTCTACCCTTATCTTATCATATTTCTAATTAAATAGCTATCACATCCCTGTTCCTGTCATTCCATGTTCCTAGGAAAGTAAATATTACTTACAGGCCACGCATATTTCATCTCCAATTACTCAAGGAGACCAATGTTGTCAAATTGCCACCATGGCAAATTGCAGTGGTAGAATTTCAAAATTCCGCCATAAGGCAATTTGCCTCTGCCAATTTTCGTATGGCAGCACTGGCATCCACCATGCTCATGGCATCAAGGCGTAGTGGCCGCACCATGGCTGAAACGATGGATAACCAACAGGCTTAGTTGACGAATGGGCCTATTCTAGTGATGGGCTTAGTTGAAGGGCTAGTCAACTAAGGACTTTCAACTAGTATCAGCCTATGCTTCTTCCTTCTTCTTCCTCAAATAGAGTAACCTAAGCTTCTTGATAGGCAAACTAGACTGAGAGAAGTGAATACAACTAGAGTAGTGTTAATCGCAACATGCAAACTAGAGCGAGAGAAGTGAGACAAGAGTCAATCGCGAGTCTTTACACAGCAACTACAAGCCTTTATAGTGTTAGCCAACCTAGAGGAGCACAATATCAGCCAATAGTGTCAGCAATCATGAGGTTTCCTCTCTGATATACAATACCAAGCGAACCTTAAGAAGCTCTAAGAGTGTCAGCAGGGCTTCCTCTCTAATCACGAGGCTTCCTTTGGGAGTGTTAATCAGTTTCTCATCTTTACTCTCTCATTTTAGTCTATTTCTCTTCTTTTATGATATATAGAGTTTCTCTTATTTTTAGTATGTCCATTAGTCTCTCTCCTTTTTAGTTGGTTGGCTTCCTCCAATTTGTATTATTTTAGTCTATTGAGAATTTCATCTATTTATTTAGTTTTCTTTCTTCTTTTATGGTCAATTCATTCTATTCTATATACTCTGTGCTATTTATTAAGGTGAACCTAAGTCATGACAACTCAAGGATGATGAGAAACCATTTAAATTGATTATCACTTTTCTAATTGAGGATTTGAGACTCTAATTTTTGTGTCTTCTTCTTCCTATCTAATGCTTGTGACACTTATTTGGTGAATTTTATTTACTATAAAATGATTCAATGATGTTTATTTTCATTAATATATGTTTTTAGCTCTTTTTGCAAGTTTTTATGATAAATTTTTATTTTTTTTTCTTTGTATGCCAGTTGGCTGCCATGCCATCTGCCATGGTGGTTTTTTGGCTTGCCGTCAAGGCCGCGCCATACACCACTGATAACATTGAAGGAGACAAAATCTTACATATAGAAAACATAATCCTTTCCTAGATATAGTCCACATATTCACAAGCAACATAAAGATGTTGGAAGCAATAGGAACTAGGAAGCATGAATATGCTATGCCTTAGTTCAATACTTCTACAGGTGCTGCTTTTGTCAGTTCAATTGTTTTTGTAGTGGCCAAAAAGAAACAAACTCGAGATTTTTCATAAATCAATTATGACATGTCCAAAGAAATTTCAATAATAAATTTTTTCTCCTCCTCTTGTGGATAGATCTCCAAAATATGCAAAGAAATAGTAGATAAAATCTTTTTAGAGGGGCCAGCAAATATTTAAACCTTTAAAAGATATTACAGAACATTGTTGCTTGTCCATTGTTGGGACTACTGAGGTTGGGGACTAGGAACACATTGCATCAATCTATAATTTGTTGGTATTTTTTAGTGGTTAGTGACCAAAAAAAAAGCAAAAAAAATTTGTCACCTTATCTTCTGTTATATTATAATCAAAGAAGCATGGACAAAGGACATGGTGTCCAACACGCAACTTTGAAAAATTTAGGATGTAGACAAAGTAGGAACACAATTATAAGATCTAATTTTTTTAATATTTATATTAATTATAATTATAATTGGAACATTTGAAAATGATCAAAACTAACATCAATAGCTAAAACCAAATAGATTCATTCATGCTTAAACACCAGTCAAGACAAACCAAAACTACTATAAATTTATAACAATTACTTCGTTCTGTAATTACCTAATTATATGTGATATGGTTGTTTACTTTCACATTATTCTTGCAAAAAATTAATATTGGGTGAAATCTTATTTGATTTAGAAACATGTCTCTATGTCCTAAGGCATGTGTTTGTACAAGGACATGCGTGTCCGAAATGGAAAAACAAAATACACATGGCATGTCTAATTAGTGCCTTGGTGTGTTCACAAAGAATCCATGTATTATATGATACTTCACGCGAATGGAGTGTCCGTGCTTCCTCAATTCTGATTTTATTATATTCACTCATATCATACCACCTTATGAGAGTGAAGAAGGCAATGAAAATTATAGCAGAACATATTTCCCAGCCTGCATGATATTCAAATTTGGTTTTTTAAAGTGTAGCAATAAAAGACAATTAATATAGGCAGATTATAAATAGAATATTCCGAAGAATCCAGTTTGGCACAATGGAGCAAAACATCAGAGTGAAGTCAAAGAGATGCAGGTGAAATTGCTATGTATCACTATCAGAATACAAACGTTATTTTCCTCCAAATTTTAGTAGAGAATTAAGGGATAAAGTGTTGTTGTCTCAGGAATTAAAGAATCCAAACAAAGCAGATTATTTGATGATTAAACTAATGGAAGAGATCTTTAGCAACAATGTCTATAAGAGGTTACTGCAGAAGGAAGGTGAAAAATACCAAAAAAGAATAAGTCAAAACGTGGAAGCCCAGACTCAAGTCCCTTCCAATTCTTTCATATTTCAAGAAATACTTATACTTCGTCAACCATTCTACATTTTGAGTTTCTTATAAAACAAAAAAGCATCATGTAAACAAGAAGGTAATCCAGCAAGGAATATGGAGTACCAAATTTTAAAAACCTGCAACAAGCCAACAACAGATGGGAGTATCCATTTCCTAATTCATTTCCCTTCTTGGTTAACTTTGGTGGTAACATTTTTTCCCCCAAACTGTTTACCAGGTCTTACCATCGCTTCCATATAAAGAATTGAAAACTGCATGATCAGTACAATTCGGTCATTGCCTTTCTCGTCGACAGTTCATTTGACAGACATTCTACTCATTGTCTAAACAAGGAAAACATCAACCTACCGCTGGCAACTCATAAACAATATTTTTATTCCCAAAAATCCACGACCGATCAGATAAACAGATGGCAAAACAGTCAATGCCCAACGATCAAATAAGATAAAGTCAAATCCTTTGCGATAAGATAATTGGTCAAAAGCAACAATCACACCGAACAGACATCAGAATCAGTGAAGTCAACGAATGAATTACTCACTGAATCCATTTTCAACTAGGTAATTGAAGGTGTGACCATCACAATTGTAGGTGAACCTGTTGTTGCTGGAGGGAAGTTTCTGGAGACACTGAGAGGCGATGCTGGTGAAATTTCCCGTGAACTCAGTGTACTCGGCGAGGATCACTGTTCCTCTCGCCACGAAGCTGTAGATCAGCGACTGTTGGCCCATGTCCTTCCCCCAAAAAACCCTAACTAACCTGACTTAAAACCTGCAGGCCTCAGAGAAAGAATATCCCAGAGCAGCAGAGTAATGAGATTGAAGCGCAGAGACGATGGGATCGGAGAGAGATGAGCTGGATTTGCGGTGTTTTTATTTGGAGAAAGTAACAATCAGAGAGAGTCGTACGAAAACCGCTGATTCTCAATATGGGCAAACAGATGCATATGAAATTTATGGGGGAAGACAAACGTTGAGAGAGAGAAACAGAGCCGGGTGGGGTTATGTTTGAAATTTTGAACGGTGGTCGTGGGTGCCGAGCGGGTTGACCAAATACCGTATGCAGTGCAATAGAAGGATCCTTTGATCCAGGTTAAAATTACACCACAGGGCATCCAACTTCTATTTGTTTCAATCAAGTCACCCTAGTTAGCACAAAAATGTTTCAATGTCATTAAAGCTAAAGTTAAATTTTTTATTTTATTGAATAAATTTCATAAAATTATTATTCTTGGATTCAAATTTAAAATCTATTAAAAACAACAACATATTTTAGTCAATCAATTTTGTGAGATAATATTTTAAAAATAAAATTATAATTTTTACACATCTATCGAATATACTATGATTTTTAACCACCACTAATCGTCCCTTACAATCTCACTCTTTACTCATTACCCTTGCTCGTCCTTCGTCACTTCTAATGCCAAGGTGACTAAGTAAATTAAGCAAAATTTAATCCAAAAAAGATAATATTATATTTGTTTTATTGTTTATTTTCCTCTAAATCATATATCAAAATTGAGTCCCCTTTTTTAAGTACTTCTAAAAGAACGGTACATGTTAATAGTAATTAATCATTGGTAGTTTTAAAGAAAATTAGTCCATAATGCATATTTGACTGTCCCAAAATCTAAAGTTTATATAAGATAAATTCTCCATCTTTAATTTGAACCTTGAGTCATAATATCTAATAAACGTCGTAATATTTATTTTTTTCTAATGTTTTAATTCTTTTTAAGATTGTTTGGCAATTCAAATTCGCTGGTCATTAAACTAATTGAAATCCATATTAATGTAATGACCCCATTGAAGCCCTTTGATGAGTAGGATGGCTCAAATGAAATAAATTAAAGTTTGATGAACAAAGGCAAAGTTAAGTGACCCTTGATGTAATTATCCATTCTTCTTGGGGAAACGTTCAAATAGCGGGTCAGACGCGGGGGCGTTAGTGACGAACTTTCATAATCAATAAAAATAATACTTGGGACACGGCAACATTAGGAAAAACGAAAAGACGAGGAAATGATATGATACCGACATATACATGTACATTTATATATATTACGGAACAAGCAATTGGTTTATTATGTAAATTGTGTGGCATTAGACTTTTTCTTTTTTCATTTATTTATTTATATAAGCGGAGGGATAATATTAAAAGCAACGTACTCGTCATCATGGCATGGCCATTGCTTTAGAAATTGGACGCTGAAGTCAATGACAACAATCAATTTTGTACTTCTATTTCGGCCTTTAAGGCATTGTTTGCTTCAATTATGAACCCATGCGAATAAATGGCCACACATCTTAAACAATAGAGTTAATTAAAAAAAAAATGAACGAAGATAATGAAAATGATAAAATTTTTGACATGATAAATAAAATTTAAAAGCTAAAAATATATCTGTAAATCAAATTTTTCTTAATATTTTTATATTTATTTTTGTAGGATTCACTGTTTAATTCCAATAATTTTCCCTCCCTAACTACTTGGTCAGTATTTTCAATGCCCATTCTGTGTCTTGCCAGAAGGTGAGATGGAGGAGGCTTCATTTGGTAGGTGCCCTTGATTTCCACTTCTATCTGTTACCATTTCAAGTTTAGGGAGTCATCAAATCTTAACTAAAAGGAATTTTTTTTAGTTTTTTTAAGCTTAAATATAATAACTTATAAACTTAAATATTTGACTATTAGATTTTTTTTTCTAAAAGAGACAAAAATTAAAAAAAAAATAATCAAAATAGAAAGTTTATCGCATTCCATTCCATGACTAGCTTAGCTAATATTGGTTTATACTTCATAATTCATCACTTAGATTATTAAATCATTCCATCCAGCAACTATCCATAAACTTAAAAATAAATAAATAAATATCAAGTAATGAATATATCATATGTTAGTTCTCCCTTCAAGCCCTAATTTCATATATAATTAAAATTAGAGCAAACTTTATACGCTCTGAGTCGATTTAGTCTTCAACTTTTTAGTTTTAGCAATTCCAAAATCCCAAAGTGTTGAAATATAAACTAATAAACATTAAAAGTGTGGTGAAAATTACAATATTAGTACCTGAAGATTACAGTCCCTTCTTAACCGGCACCCAACCCGTTTACATTCCATTAAATTCCTTGATGATAATTGTAACCCCCCAAAAAAAAAAAAAAAAAATCTTTGATGACAAGAGCCAGGAATTGTTCTCCATAGAAGTGGAGGAAAGGAAAGGGCAAAATTGTTAAATCTGAAACTCTGGGGCCAAATAAAAATTGGTAATAAAGCTTGGAGACGACTAATGTAATTTGCCCGTATATTTATTTATTACTCAACCCATAACTCCATTCATATATCAAGGATGAAAGTAAATTCCAGACAAACGTGACATTAAAATTTCAAATTAGAATAAATAAACTTACGATAAGGGTGAAAAATTCGGTTCAAACGTATACATGAATAGTTGTTAAATTGTATATCATAATATATACCAATTTTTTAATTTATATATAATATAACGTAACATAACATGTATTATAAAATACACACACACATATATATATGTATGTATAAATCAATTATAAAAAATTCAATATATAAGTTCATAAAAGAAAGTATGTAAGTCTCCATCCTAGATTTAAATGCATATCATAATAAGAAAGTTTGATATAAACTAAAGTCTAACAAATGTTATGAAGTAGGCAAGATTAATCAAAAAGAGGAAAATAAAAAATTTTAAAACTTGTCATTCATATCTAAGAATGTATCATTTATGTCTCCATCATTATGCCCAAGTAAGTCTACATTAAGATTTTCAAACACTTTGTTCACTATGTTTACATATTAATAGCTTAACTTTGTTTATCTTACACTTCAATCTTCTTCTATTTCTTATTTCTTTCCATTTGCAAATTCTTTGGACATAGAAAAAAAATTGATTAGTTTTGTTAATTTATAATAATCTTATTAAAATTATTAATTTATAATTATTTACATCATATTCAAATATTCATTAATCAATAATATTATGTAACTCTTTTTCTTTTCTAAGTTGCCGCCACTTCTTCTTCAAAATACTCATGAATGTCCATTCATGATGTATCTTAAGGCAAGTAAGGATTTTTACTTTCCACTATCCATTCATCATTAGATTCTAGATCCAACAAAGAAATAGACTTATATGTTTCACCTTTCTCTTATTTTTTTTTCTCTCAACTCTAAATTAATATTATATTTGACAAAAACAAATGCATTCTAATGTTATTACTCTAACTAATTCCTTTCTTTGGAATGCACTTACTTGTTTAAAAGTACTCCAATTCTTTTCATAACCTATGGCACTACATATGAGGCTTGATATTCTTATGGCAAGACTTTGAAATTCCTTGCATTGACTTACATAACTTTGCCACCATTATTATAACATCCCAACCCAAAACCCTTATCATGTATTTTATTTTGCATTATCATAATTAGTGGCATTATTAGTTATTTAAATTTAAGTTTTAAATAAATAATGATAATAAAAGAAAAAAAAAGAAAAAGAAAAAGGATGATGATGGTGTGGGGGCACATGTCCTCCACGTTGAGAGCATATTAATTATAAAAAAAAAAAAAAAAAAAAAAGGGAAAAGAGAGTTTTGGTCGGCAAATAAAGAAAAGGGGAGAAAGAAAAGGAGAGAAAGAAAGAGGGAAGAAGGAAAGAAAGAAAGAAGAGGGAAGAAAGAGAGAAGAAGCAAAGCAAGAGAAGACAAACGAAAGGGAAGGCGCAGGCGACGGAAATCAGTTCAGGCGAGAATCAGGTTAAATTTTTTTTTAATAATAATTTTTTTTTTAGTTATTTCTAATCTAGTTGCAGTTTAGATCTTTTTAATTGGTTTAGATTTTGTATTAATTGTTGTTTTTATGATGAAAAATTTAGGAATAATTTTTATTAGTTTAGATTAAATTTTTATTAATTCATGTTAAATTTTGTTAAGAAGGTGACCAAGTTAGGTTAGTAAAAACAAGACTAAATTGACACTAAAATCTATCTGAACTCTAATCTATAATTTTGCCGACACACCTACGAATTATTTTTCATAAAAAAATAACTATAACTCCTTTTGTGAATGTGAACATACCTTAGTATACCTAACTTGAAAATGAGTATAAAATAATATTTTGAGAATTTTCGGAATACGTATGTAGTAGAAACTTTGACCCAAATAAAAATGGTAGAAAACAACCTAATTAGAAGTACATCTCATGTATGCACTAGCATATTCATGCATCCATGCATCATGTTGGCATGTTATTAATAGCGTATGTGGTTACACTTTAGGACAAGTAAACCGGCCAGTCAGTGAGCCTAACAAGATTGAGTCTGGACGCACACAGTATCAGCAGAGGTGAGTGGTCTTTTTCCTAAGCTCAGTATTTTCCCAAAATAAAGAAATTTATTCTTTTCTTATAAATAAATGTTTTACTTTAAAAACCATAGGTTTTATTTTTGAAATGTTTTTATTTATGTAATAATTATTTTGTTATGAGAAAGGGAAACAGGAATCTCATTTTTATGCCGTATGTTATATATGTGAATGTTTGCAATTCACCTAGATAATTCGCTGGGTAACCACATTAGTGTGGTAGTACTACATGATTTATTTGCCCGGTGGGGTCTTATGACACCAATAAGCTATGTGTGTTCGTCTATGAGGGTGGTGTCCTATGAAACGAGTCTCATGACCAGTAGCACCCAG